TCTCATGTGGTCTTCATTTACCATGGTCTCCTATTCCTTGTTCTCCCTCTCTGTTCTTGATCCAGCTGGGATCTCCCGCTCTCTTTCCCTTGACCCTCGCCGTTCATTGCTCCCACTCATGTCCAGGCTGTTCATGTAGATCTCATCCATTTCTCCGTCATTGGGTGATCCCCGTGTCTTTCTTGGGGTCCTGTTTTCCAGGTAGCCTCACTGGTGATGTGAGTAGCAGTCCAGTCATCCTTGTTCCACAGCAAAGGACTTCTCCCATTGGATGAAGCTAAGTACCCAGTTGTGTGGGTGTGAGTCTATAAAAGGGTCTATAACCAACCAGCTTCTTGGCTGTGCGTGAGAGGCTGAGTATCAGCCAGATGTTCCTTTGCTTGCTTCGTCTTTTTCTTCTTTTTAAGTCAGTTAAAGAAATCTCGCACACAACCAAGAAGCTGCTTGGTTACAGACCCTTTTATAGACTCACACCCACACAACTGGGTACTTAGCTTCATCCAATGGGAGAAGTCCTTTGCCTTGCTGCTATATTCAACAAAACAGGAAAAGCTTGTCATTCACACTCCTGGAATGTAGTCCACAACCTCCTTTCATCTTGCTACTTCCTAATTTATGAATTATCCTTTATTCAAATACATTCCTTTATGTGTTGTTGTTAAGACATAACTCTGGAAGCGTATTGGAAATTAAGTAGAAAGAAAGTGGAGGTATGCTGTGGATATCACTCTGTATAAATAAAATGGTGATTGGCTAGTAGCCAGGCAGGAAGTATAGGCGGGACAAGCAGAGAAGAGAATTCTGGGAACAGGAAGGCTGAGTCCAGAGATGCTGCCAGCCACTGCCATGAAAAGTGAGATGTAAGGTACCGGTAAGCCACAAGCCACATGGCAACTTATAGACTAATAGATATAGGTTAATTTATGGTTTAAGAACTAGATAACAAGTTTGTAAGCAATATAAGTTTCTGTGTGTTTACTTGGTTGGGTCTAAGCAGCTGTGGGACTGGCAGGTAAGAGAGATTTGTCCTGACCGTGGGCCAGGCAGGACTGGAGAAAATTTCAGCTATAGAGGTAAGTTTGCATGCCCTTGAAATAATCAAGGGACTAGATTGGAAGGGTCTGAATTAAAGATGAAAATGAAATAAATAAGGGATTTTTTTTAGGGATCTTAGAATTTGAGTGAGAGAAAGAATGAGAGAGATATCAATGCACTTTTATCATTTCCAACATAGGATATTATGTCAAAGAGACACCAAGGGTGAATAGAGATGAGTGCATTAGTTTTTAAAACTTCAGATAAACAATTTTAGATATTTGGTGGCGAGACCTCTCAAATACCACCACATTATAATTGCTGGAAGCTGTGAATATATTAATGTTCCCGGTAAAAGAGTCACAAACGGCTGGCTGAGGGTCATTTGGCTCCTTTTGGATGAAAATCATGAATAGGCAAGGCACAGCTTCCTTTGTGTTGGCAGTGCTGAGGACTGCAGGGCTAGATGGATATGGGTTGGACTTACAGAACCAGAGGCTTAATGCTCTAGGTTGTGAGAGCTAGAGGCTTAAGGCTTTCCAGGCTTTAAAAGCCAGAGGCTTGTAGATCTCTTGGCACTCAGGGCAGAGACGTTTTGCTGTGGATTTTTAATGCCAGCAGCCAGTGTTATAATTTCCGATCACTGTGTGTTGGGACTCTTAGCTTGTAGCCCTTGGTAGTTCCCAGGAACTCTTCCAGCACCTGGAGCCTGGAGCTCTCATCCTTGGTTGTTTATAGTCTCTCACCATCTGTCCTTTCAGCTCTCTGCAGTTTCTGTCCCCAGCTTCTCCCTGGAACTCTTCAGCTCCCTTCCCTCTTCTTCTAGGTGGGGTTTGGGGCTAAAAGTCCCAGGGGTTCTTTTGTTCTTTGAGCAGCTACATCAGCCCACTCTACCTATAATAAGACCACAAGTAGATAAAATAATTCTTGAAAAGTCTTTATTGGAGTCATACCTTGCAGAACCAGGGGATAATGCATAGGAGAGAAATCTACCAGGCTGATTCACCAAAACTGAGAAATAGGCTGCTTGTACAGCTAGAATTGGGTTTGGTAAACCTGTGCTCAGAGTATCTCTGTTCATCACAAGGCAATGGTGTGAGGCTTCTAGTCCATCAACCCCAAGCCTCATATTGCACTAAGCACAGTTGTTGCTGTTGTTTTTTTCTGAGTTACTGGGAGGTGCTTTCTCTCCAGTCCTCAGTGAGAGTAACTGCAGGGTGAGCAGTGTTATCTAGAGTTGACTGAAGTTGCCATGCCTGGAGTAGAGTCTTCCTTGTATTATCTGGAGAAGAGCCTTTCAATGCCAGTACAGTTTACTTGGAATGGTCAAGAGTAGTGCAAGGCCCCCTGAAACCAGTAGGACTTCCAACAGCTGGAGAAATAGTTTCAGTGGTGTTTGCTGCTGAAAAACTTTCCTCAAAGTTACTGTGACGAAGAGAGAACCTCTTTGTGGCCACTTTCTGTACAAGGCAATGAGGCATAAGGGGAGGGTCTTCCTGTTGTCATAAAGGGCTAAATGTCCTGTTTCCAAGAGTTTTGTTCATCTACAGGAAGAGTGCTCACAATACATACTCAGTAAATTATCCTTACTCATATTTAACAATGCCTGACTCCTAACTACATGTCCTTAAGAACACCTCTATGGGGATTTCACAATTATGATGAGATTAAGGAAGCTGTGATGGAGTGGTTACCCTGGATTACTCAGGTGGGTTCAATGTAATAATCAGGTGTAAGGAAGGCAAGAGACTCAAAGGCAGACTGAGCACATCATAGAGCTGTGCTTTGAAGATAGAAGCAAAGACTATAGGCTGGCCATCGAAACTAGAAAAGATAAGTGTATGATTTAATTTTCTTATTACTGTAATAAAATACCTGAGAGGAATCAACATAAGGAAGGGCTTATCTTGGTTAAAATTCAAGGATATGCTTTAGTCCACCAATGGGGTGAAGGACAAGGCAGCAGGGACCAGACACTGCTGGTCACATTGCATTGGCCTTCAGAAAACAGAACAGGAAGCAGGACTGAGCTATGAAACCTCAAGACTAGCTCACTGTGATCCATGTCTTCCAGCAAGGCTCTACTTCCTAAGGGTTCTGACCAAGACCTTGCCAGACAGCACCCCCAGCAGGGTACCAAGTTCTAAAACATGCAAGTCTGTCAGTGAACATTTTACACCTAAACCATAACAGTAGGAAAATAGACTGTTTTTCTCTTAGAGCTTCAGACATCTTGATTTTAATAAACAAGATTCAATTCAGGGCCATAGAGATGGCTTAGTTGGTAAATGTCACCAAGCCTGAGGATGTGGAACCCACATGCCAGAAAGAGAGAGACTCAGATCCCATAAGCTGTCTTCTGACCTGTGTATGTGCAACACCACACACACACACACACACACACACACACACACACACACACACACATACACTAAAAATGTAATAAATTTTGGAAAGAAAAATTATTTGAAACTTCCAACCTCCAGAGCTATATGTAACACAATAACTTTGTGTTATTTACACAAACAAGATTTTGTAGTAGAACAATCTCTGTGCTCATGTCTACACATTTAAACTGAGAAAATTTCAACCTTTTTTTTTATGTGACAGAAACTTATAAGATTAAGATTTAATTATTTCTCAGACAATGTTAATAAGGGAGTCCTGGGTAAATTAGCTGTACAAAGTCCCACATTCTAGAAGCTGATGAAGTAGCCTCCCAAGCCCTTGGTGCTTGCTTTTCACCAGTGTTGGTGGCACTCCCCATATCTGTTCCCCAGATCCACCAGCCTGATGGAAGTCAAAGCCCTATCACTAGCCATACCTGACACTCTGTTTCTGGGACATTTGACCTGCTAAACTTTGCTTCTTGCTTATGTATCTTTCTCTACAGCCATTTCTCTGATGACCCTTCTGGACTTCCTCCTCTTGCAATGTCCTTGCATTACTGGAACTGTGTGAACACAATCAATCCAGATTTCTATGTTGGAAGGTCAATTGCTTAGCCATAAAATAAAATAATAATTCCAGGTTCTCTGGCTCAGGGATCGTGGATTGATTTTGGTCTTCTTGATGTACACCAGTAACAAGCTGAAGGGTCCAGAGGAAAGGCCAGTGTCACCTAATCTCTCTGACAGCCTACAAGGCTTCCTATCATCTCCTCTCCCTCTAGCTCATGGTTTTATGTCTGATTTGAGGAGGACAGCCACATTTCTTTCAGATATGTGAGTGGGAGGAGAATGAAGGAATGAGGCATTTCCTGCAAGAAGGACATGGGACTAGTCAGTGTTTGAACGACTCCATCATAGTGATAGCAAGTTGAAATATGGAGCATCAGAATTTGAAGCCTAAAATCAGACAAGGGAGCTTGCAGTTTTAAGCCAAGCACTAGTAAGTGGAGACAAGAGGATTACCATGAGGTCAAGGTCATCTTAGGCTACACAATGAATTCCAGACTACCTGGGCCGCAGTGAGAGAATATGTCTCAAAAACAGAAACAGAAACAACAAGCTTTCAAAGCCTCCTATGTCTCAAGTTGAAATTCACTTGTGGATGGGTAAAAAATTTCTGAATGTACCACTTTCATCTTCTTTCTATTCTAGCTTCTAACCACTGACTTGAAGACACAAGGGGGTGTCTGTTGTAGTTTTAAAGAATAGAACTTCATCTATTCACCCTATTTCAAGTTAATGGCATACTGACAGCATATACCCTAAAGAATCTGGACATTTGATGTGGACGTCAAAAGTGACCCAGCTAATGTGCAGAATGCTTGGCATGTGCTTGGCTTACACTTTCCTACTGGAAACTCACATGAAAGCTGTTGGTGCAACTGTCTCGTTTTCTGGACTGTTAATGAATATGCAGAGGTTTAATGAGATCTGCATATTGCCAAGCTGAACACAGCTAACTAGTGACAGGGCTGGGATTAGAATGTGGGTCCTTTTCATTCCAGACACAATGCCTGTTCCTCCATTCCATACATTCCTCAACAGGAAATTCTCTTACAAGCTAAAAGCTGAGAATTCTTTTTCAACCTGTCCTGAAGAGAGTAGTTTAGAAATCAGACTCTCCAGTGAGATGTTCTGGGTGAACAGAGAACGTTGCTACCAGCTATCTGTGTGACTTTGGGTGAGTTATTGCTTCTTTTCCATGAGTGTTATTATTACAGGTGACATAATGGTAAGTGGAAAACCAGGTGTTTAAGTTTGGGTTTCAGTTTTGTAATTAATCAGCTGTGTGGTAAGAAGAAAATCACTTAACCTATCTAGGCTTTAAATTTGTTTAATTTTTTTCTGTGTAAAATGAGATGACTATAATACAGGACTTGTTCCTTTCAGGTCTGTGACTGTATTATATTAAAGGTTTCAATTTCAATAATTAGAGTTCCACCCAGGCAGCTAATGGGGCCAATTCTAACAATTCCCTAATATAGACTCAATCTTCTTCCAACAATGAAACACTATCCTGGCAAGCCTGGGCTTCAGCCAGATATATTTACAGCACATCCTTCAGCTTGAAATAGAAATTTATTGCTCAGCCATCTGTTACAATTAAGAAAGGGTTTGAAAATGTTTCTGTGTGTTTGACTAATCATGTTTTAGAGCCCTGTGGGTGCTTTACAAATTATATGCATTCCCTTCTTGGCACCACTAAAAATCTGGGCTCTGCTTCCAATATATACCCCCTCCCCAATTCTCTCTTTTCCATAGAAATTTGCTCATAGTCTCACATGGGACAGACTGTGCAACCATGCTTTAAGCTAATAATTGCCCTCTGGTGAATGACTTTTTTGGATTCAAGCAACTGCTTAGATGCTGTAACATGACTTGGTGTCGGCCATAAGAGATTAAATCATGGAGATGGAGCTTCTGGATACAGTCCCTGGTTTCTTACCTAAGAATACAGTGTTAGAACATGATGCTGTTTGTTCCTGTACATGTGTCCCACCCATGTGAACTGTGCACAGTAGGAAAGGAGTACAAAAGGAGGCTCTGAAACTGTCTCATCCCTTATTCCTCTTCACATCCCCTTACCCTCCCTGGCCTCTGTGCTCCATCCCATACTCTACTCAAGACGGTGAGACATACACTTTTTAAATCTATTATTTCCCCATAAAATTCAGTTCCCTTTACAGTCAAGATTCTTTTAGTTGTGTTCATGGGAAGAAAATACTTCAGTAAGCTGTTTTTGGTGTCTTTTTTTTTAAACAACATTGAAGGTGATGCAGTTTCTATTTCTTGAAGTAGTTGTTTTGAAGGTAATTTTTTTATAAATTAGTTTTGGAAGTAATTTTTTGAAGTGCTTTTTAAAATAAAAAACCATAGTGGCAACTTTTCTGTGCTCAGCTAAAGATTTCTGCATGGAGAGAAACATTTTATGCTTTATGTTTAGGGCTTTATAACACCCCCCAACCCCAACATTTTAAAGTAACCTTGGCTTAGGCTAATTATTTTTGTAGCATCAGGCAGGTAGTGATTGATTTCATTAAAACTTTCCTGTGGAGAGAGCAGGGGGTGGGGGTGGAGGCCATGTTAGGATGATTAAAATAATTAACGTAAGAAACTTCCATGTCTATAATCATTGATGAGGCAGGGTTGGGCTAGATGCCAGGGCAGTCTCTTGAAGAATGTTGTTGTTTTCTTTTTCTTCCGTAGAAGCCAACAATACTATTGCTTTTCAGCAACTGATTGTAAGAGTACACTTACATTTGAATTTCTCCAACATTTGTAGGTGATACAGGTATGATAGCATAATATTTATTGTCTAAATCTATTTGCTAACTGATCTAGGGAATAGGCTCTTGCTTTTTAATATCATCACATGAAACTGCTTCAGTATTAAGTGACATTGTCTCATCTCATCACTACATTAACTTATTTGGTTTAAGAATGGGACCTTTTACAGTTTCTCCAACTGCATCTCATTTTATTCACCAGATGAGTGGGTATTAATTGTTTTTAGAACTACCAACAGTATAACTTACTTTTTCTTTAAGACAGAGTGCTTTGTTATTCAATACCTCAATTTTGAAACTTTTGAATGAGTATGACTTTTCTTAAAAAAATCTCCAGGCTGTTTTGAATTCCCATAGCTGTTTAAAATAAAATCACTTTTCCTTGCCAATTGCATGTGATTTGTAATTAAGTGTCTTTTCAAGATTTTTGAAGACATTGCAACATTTCACTTGTCTATCACAGCCAACATGGAAGAACCCTGTATAAGGGTATTTACTTGTAGATAAGATTCCACCCCTTCCTTGATGTACCAGCACAGTAAAATAACCTAGAAAATTTCAATTCTTCATCACTAACCATATGCAAATGAATCATAAGCCAGAATCTAAACTCTTTTTCATAGTAATCCTGTCTTCAAAGATTGCACTTGGACCATCAGACTTGATTGTGAAATATATACATAAATAAAACACAAAAGGGGGAATATAAATAATGCAATGAGAATATGACAATGAAAAAGGCTTATATTCATTATGTAATTTAATTCAAACCTATGAAATATATTATTTTTTGCAATAGAAATAAATACTGGGTATATAACTTCAAATTAGTAGTAGGTCAGCTAGGTTAGAGCACCAAAGATTTCCTTTTCTATATTGAAAAGGTCTTTCTGATTGTGTATTCCATCAGAGAAGTTATTTTCTCTCTCCCAGAAAATCATTGAGAGGGATGTGGGGCCAAGAATGTAGGAGGAAACGAAAAGACTGAGGACATGCCAGAGTAGATCCATGTGTGAAGGCAGAGAAGTAGCAGGTGGGAGCAGAAAGCGCCATTCAGCAAGGCCCCCAAGATTGCCCTGAAAAGATGAGCACATCTTCACTAACAAGCATAGGGCTAGCTCTCCTCTGCAGGTGGCAGTGCTCACGGTCGGAGAGATTAACATGATTTGACCTTGTTAACAGTAATAGACACGATACAGTCCTAAAGCCACAGAGGAAGATTGCAATGGCTCGGCTGATTTACAAGGTTGGAGGAGCATCTAAAGACGCCGATGAAAGACTGACAGAACACAATAGTCCTAATGATAACACAGAGGAGAATGATCAGCAATGTTGCTTAATGCACAGGAGCTTGGAGGAGTCACCTTTATTCAAAGTCACACTCTTTAGTCAAAGCTCTCTTTAAAGTTTTCAGACCCAGAAAACTTGGCAGGGATGCTCAGGTACCCAGGAGGACAAAATTTGCCATATTATAGTTTTTAATGTTTTCCCCTAATATTTACTCAAAACATTTATAGTCATTTGCTTACCCTCCTGTGTCTCAGTGAGTAAATAGTGTCCATTTGGAAGATTATTAGGTATAGGCTTTGAGTTGAATTTGATGCCTCACATCTCCATGATTGTCTAGGGTGGACGCCTACAGGAACAAAGTAAAATGTGGATTCCTAGCCAAAGTTGGGCTTATGGTAGGAATATAATCTCTGTGGGTTCACTCATAAATCCTCATTTTATAGCCGGGATCAGTGTATTTGGATGTGGGAATGGTTAATGTGTAGACACCTGTGAAACTATTTTCTCTCCCATTGTAGCAGAGAGACTCTCAAACAATATGACCTTGAAGGGGCAGAATTAGACTTAAGAATCCCAAGTGTGGACCGTTAGTTCAGACCCTTATGTCAATCAACTCAATCCTTAGTTTCTATCTACACTTTACAGAAGGAGGGGGAGGGGCGAAGCTCAGGCTGGCTTGTAGATGTGGCAATCCTGATTTATGGGTCAGGCCCCAAATGGGCCATGACTTTAATATAGCAATATTCAAGGGGAGCCTTGAAATATGACTGTGAGGAAAATATCCCCAATGAGGAAAGTGCCAAGTCACCTGTGTCACCTGTGTGAAGGAGAGTGGCTTTAATTTAAGTAAGACTGCTTGCAAAAGTGTGAGCAATAACAAATGGACAAGGAGGGCCGGTGAAGAGGTCAATGGATGGGCCCTGAGTGCAAAAATGAAATTGTTGAGTCAGAGAAAACCCTATAGAAGGCAAATGATGTGCTTGAGTGCTTTATAGAATGTTCCTGCCTAACTGTGTCTGTGGCTTGACAAACTCAGCAATTCTGGCTTAGTTGAGTTACTTCCAAAAGATGACTTTAGGTCACCTTATCGCTTAAGCTACTCAGTGAGACAAGCAGAGAATGCATATGGAGAATGGTTGGTGGATGGGTGTGCAAACTGCAATGTTTTGTCCTAATCTTTTAGTTTCCCTTCAGAGAGAGGGAGAGGGAGAGAGGAAGAGGGAGAGGGAGAGAGGGAGAGGGAGAGAGGGAGA